TCAAAATAAAAGCAGACGCTCTGTGAATTCCAGGCCAGCCTGGTCTATAGAACGAGATCCGGGATAGCCAGGGTTACACAGGGAAACCCTGTCTTGAAAAACTAAAAACAGAAAAGAAAAAAGTAGACAGTGACTGGGCAGGTGGCACTTGTTTTTAATCCGAGGTCTTTGGAGGCAGAAGCAGATGGAGCTCTGTAAGCTTGAGGTCAGCCTGGTCTACAGAGTGATTTCCACCCCATCCAGGGCTACACAGTGAGACTTTGTCTCTAAAACAATAGAAGTAATCAACTCCACAAAATCAGTGGCACTCCTATACACAAAGGATAAAGAAACGGAGAGGGAAATCAGAGAAACATCACCTTTCACGATAGCCACAAATAGCATAAAATATCTTGGGGTTACTCTAACCAAGGATGTGAAAGACCTATTTGACAAGAACTGTAAGCCTTTGAAAAGAGAAATTGAGGAGGATACCAGAAAATGGAAAGACCTCCCCTGCTCTTGGATTGGGAGAGTCAACGTAGTAAAAATGGCAATTCTACCAAAAGCAATCTATAGATTCAATGCAATCCCCATCAAAATCCCATCAAACTTCTTCACAGACCTTGAGAGAACAATAATCAAGTTTATATGGAAAAACAAAAAACCCAGGATAGCCAAAACAATCTTATACAATAAAGGAACTTCTGGAGGCATTACTATCCCTGACTTCAAACTCTATTACAGAGCTACAGTATTGAAAACAGCTTGGTATTGGCATAAGAACAGAGAAGTCGACCTATGGAATCGAATAGAAGACCCAGATACTAACCCTCAAACCTATGAACACCTAATTTTTGACAAGGGAGCTAAAGGGATACAATGGAAGAAGGAAAGCGTCTTTAACAAATGGTGCTGGCATAACTGGATGTCAACCTGTAGAAGAATGAAAATAGATCCATATCTATCACCATGCACAAAACTCAAGTCCAAATGGATTAAAGACATCAACATCAATCTGTCCACTTTGAACCTGATAGAAGAGAAAGTGGGAAGTAGTCTACAAGATATAGGCACAGGAGGCCACTTCCTAAGTAGGACCCCAGTAGCACAGACAATAAGAGAAAAGATGAATAAATGGGACCTGCTGAAACTGAGAAGCTTCTGTAAAGCAAAGGACACTGTCAGTAAGACAAAAAGGCTGCCTTCTGACTGGGAGAAGATCTTCACCAACCCCTCATCAGACAAAGGTCTGATCTCCAGAATATACAAAGAACTCAAGAAACTAGACACTAAAACTCTAATTAACCCAATTAAAAAATGGGGTACTGATCTGAACAGAGAATTCACAACAGATGAACTTCGAATGGCCAGAAGACACTTAAGGTCATGCTCAACCTCCTTAGCGATCAGGGAAATGCAAATCAAAACCACTTTGAGATACCATCTTACACCTGTCAGAATAGCTAAAGTCAAAAACACCAATGATAGCCTATGCTGGAGAGGATGTGGAATGAGGGGAACACTCATCCATTGTTGGTGGGAATGCAAACTTGTGCAGCCACTGTGGAAATCAGTGTGGCGGTTTCTCAGGAAACTGGGAGTCAACCTCCCTCAGGACCCAGCAATTCCTCTCTTGGGAATATACCCTAGAGATTCCCGAACATACTACAAAAGTGTTTGTTCAACTATGTTCATAGCAGCACTATTTGTAATAGCCAGAACCTGGAAACAGCCTAGGTGCCCCTCAATAGAAGAATGGTTTAAAAAGGTGTGGAACATATACACATTAGAGTTTTACTCAGCGGTAAAAAATAATGACATCTTGAATTTTGCATGCAAATGGATGGACATAGAAAACGCTTTACTGAGTGAGGTAAGCCAGACCCAAAAAGAGGAACACGGTATGTATTCACTCATAAGTGGATTCTAACCATAATTAAAGGTCTTTGAGCCTATTATTCGTGATCCTAGAGAAGCTAAATAAGAAGACGAACCTGATGAAGATTATTTAGCTATCCGCCAGGAGGTAGGAAATAGTCAAGAGTCCCAGGTAACCTTGGGTGCATGAGGGGGGGTGGGAGGGTTGTTGGAAGGGGAGAGGGTTAGAGAGAAGGGAGTAGGGGAGGAATGGAGAAAGCTCGGTTGACCGGGATGGGGGGAAGGGAGGAAGGATGAATATGGGATCAGGGAAGAATATATTTCAACTAAGGGAGTCATTTTAGGGTTTACAGGAAACTTGATTATATATGGGATCCCAGGTCCAAGGAGAGATCCCCAGATTGTTCTCTGGACAGAGGAGAGGGTACCTGAACCGGCCTTGGCCCATAACCATACTGATGAATATTTTGCTTATCACCATAGATCCTTCATCTGGCGTTGGATGGCGATACAGGCGGAGACCCACATTGGAGCACCGGACTGAGCCCCCCAAGATCCAAATGAGGAGCAGAAGGACGAAGAAAATGACGAAGGACTGCGAGGGATGCTATCACCCACTGATACAAGGGGTCGGATCTAATGAGAGTTTACCAAGGCCAGTTGGACTGCAACTGAACGAGCACGTGATCCAACCAGATTCTCTGAATGTGGCCGGATTCTCTGAATGTGGCTGGCCTGGAGTCTTTCTGAGAAGCCATTGACAATGACACTGGGACTAGTTTCCTCTGCATATACTGGATTTTTGGGATCCAGTCTGTTTGGATACTCACCTTCCTGGACCTGGAGGGAGAGGGGAGGAACTTGAACTTCCCACAGGGCAGGAAACCCTGACTGCCCTTAGGGACAAAGAGGGAGGAGGAGAGGGAGGGGGGAGTGGGAGGGTGTTGGGAAGAGGGGCGTAAATGGAAACTTTTATAATTTAATAAAATTACTTTCAAAAAAAAAAAAAGAAAAGAAAAAAGTAGACAGTGACTGGGCAGGTGGCACTTGTTTTTAATCCGAGGTCTTTGGAGGCAGAAGCAGATGGAGCTCTGTAAGCTTGAGGTCAGCCTGGTCTACAAAGTGATTTCCACCCCATCCAGGGCTACACAGTGAGACTTTGTCTCTAAATCAATAGTTAACTAAGCAAATTAAACCAAGGTGGACAATGCCTTAGCACAACAGCACAGGCTCGTCATTCTCCAAACCAATATTTTATATGGGTATTATATTTCCTTACATTTATGTGGCATTCCTACTTTATCCAACACTCTTCCCCAAATCACTCTGCTTCAGCTTCTGGGCACCTGCGTGCATGTACACGCGCGCGCGCGCGCGCGCGCGCGCACACACACACACACACACACACACACACACACACACACACGTAATATTTTTAAAAGATGCAGTTCAAGTATTCTGTAACATTTTTTCCGCCAACGTGGAGCTGGACTTTAGCATCCTTTAGTCATGAATATAGTGACCAGGGATGACTTCCTGTAGCCTGGGAGTCAAAGTGTCCCTTCCAGTAAATACATTTTTATCATCATGGAACCACACCCAGAGTGCTGTCCTCTAGTAAGGCACAGGTCTCAGTAGATACAGCATAGATTTTACTGCTAGGAAACATCCGATATATTTGCTATCTGTCCTTTAAATATCATTGGTGACTTCTCCGGTGTCCAAGACAAAACAAACAAAAATTCAATAGAGCTCATAAGTTTCCCGAGATCACAGGTCATCTTTAACACTCTCAAACTCTCACCGGTGACTTATTGTTAGCGTGTGCTGAGCGCTCTAAATTTAAGACTGTGTTCAACCCACAAAACGTTATCTTCACTGTGAAAAAAGGCTTAAAAAATTCAGAACACAATACTGTTGCTCCTTCTCACGAATCTGTTCCAATGGCTACCCTTTCTTATATTTAATTTTTGAAATATAAGAGTTTTTATTTAAATGTGTAATCTTTTTTTTCCTGCCTTTGTCTGTACACCATATACATGCAATGCAATGCCCGCGGAGGACAGAAGAGGGCGCCAAATGCTCTAGCACTGGAGTTAACAGACTGTTGTAAGAAGTCAGTGGGCTGGAAATAGTAGCAGGGTACTTAGAAGAGCAGCTGGTTTTCCCCCCTCCCATGGAATCGCCTTTCTAGCCCCTGTATTCGACTTTTAATTAAGAAAATATTTTTACAGAGTTATTTAGCCTACGTTTGTTTTGAATTCCTGGCATTCTGAGTGCTGTGCACCATCATGCTAGCCTATGGCCACTCTTCTGTACCTTCACCAGTCACATGACATGTAAGAGAACTACTACTTTCTCATTGTAAAGAAAACTTCACAAAAAAAAAAAAAAGAAAGAAAAGAAAAAGGAAAAGAAAAAGAAAACTTTACAGCTGCTTGACTTCTTGTTGGTCGTGTTAAATGTTAATTTGGGGGAATAATACTTATTGTTATATAGCATAATCCAAGAATGTGATTTTTTTTTCTAGTTAAAGGTGCATTATAACTCGCGTTAAAACCTAAAATATTTTGATATCCCTTTCTAGCTAGTGATTACTGAATACCGGACAACAACAAAAACAACTAAACCTGCATTAAAGATCTCTCAGGACTTCATAACATCTTTGGTCTCTAAATCAGTACTTTAGATTTATACAGCACTTCTATTTTGGTAAATAGTGTCTCCCAAACCACTGCTTCACTTTCTTAAAATAAGTCAGAAGTGAAATGTCCCTCCTTTCTCCTCCCTAGCCATCTCTGGCTCTACATAGGGTACAGCTACAGGGAGAACTGAATAATTCATGGGCGGGGTGGAGGTGGGCTGGGCATCAGTCTCCAACAGCAGAAAATAAAGGTATGCGGAGGATATGCTCAAAGTACATCATATACTTTCATGTAAATGGCCTTACATATGTATTTATGTATGTATGTATCTCTATTATCCGTCTTTCTATCCCTATATATAAATAACATTTTTTTTTAATGATCTAAGGCAAAACATGAGGGTACCACCGCCCTTCTGAGTCCAGGAGGAGCTCTGGGGAGCTGGAGACCCAGCTGGGATCTCCAAGGCTAGTGGCCCGGGACGCATCTTTCTACCTCCACAATGCCGAGCCGCAGCAGCTCAACCACCACAGCAGCACCGCCACTGCCCCGGCCGACATGGCGCCAACTCCACCCCTTAGCAACCGTCTCCGTCTCCGCAGCGCCAGCCGGGTTAGCACGCTCCGGCGTCCCAGTCGGTTTGTGCACGCGCAAGGCGGGAAAGAGTGAGTGCGCGTGCGCAGGGGGAAGACTCGTGGGGTCTCCGGAAAGTCAGCCCCTGAGTGAACACATAAGACCAATTTTCATTCAAAAAACTGCACCTTGAAAACTCCGAGTTGGCCTGATAAAAGAGAAACTATAGATGATTCACCTCCCCCGCACTCCCGCATATAGTCTCTCATGTAGCACAGATTGGCCTCAAGCTCTTGGTAACTGAGGATAACCTTGAACTCAGAACTGAAGCAGAAAGCATAGAGGATTGCTGATTTGCTCGCCACGGCTTGCTCAGGACTACCTGCTCAGGGGTGGCACCACCCACAATGAGCTGTGCCCTCTGCCGTTAATCGTTAATCAAGGAAATGTGCAGCCACAGAACTGCTCACAGGTCCGTCCGATGGAGGCGATTCCTCAATTGAAGTTCCCCTTCGCAGGCGACTCTAGTTTGTGTCATGCTGACCAAAGCTAACCAGCATAGTATATATGAGACTCTCAAATCATTAATAAAATATTATATCTTATTTAAAAAGCAGAACAAAAAAAGCAGAAGTCATTTTTCTTATTTTCAAGAGGAAAAAATGGACAGAGATGAATGTCATGTGTGTTCCTGCAATTAAAAACCAAATACATACAACAGCATTCTTGCTTTCAAAGAGTTTGTAATTTTGATACACTTGAGACAAGCTCAGTTATCAAACAGCATTATAATTTGTTTACTAGCTGAAGACAGCAATTGTATCATCATTCTTTTCTATCGTCACTGTAAGCAGGAAACACACCCCAGGGTTGCTAGCACAAGGACACCTCTGTCTTTGAAACAGTCCCTGAAAGAATTTTGGGAGGAGTATAGCAGAGTTAGTGGGTTTATTGATGAAACAGAAAGCCACAGTGCTTTAAAAGGGAGTCAAGTGTGGCGGTTAAGAGAGGAAGACAACCAATAGCTACATGTGATTTGGAGGCATTGGAGCCATTTAGTCTACAACTAAAGTTTAGTATTAAAGAAAGTACGGGGTGGTGTGTTTCTCTCTCTCTCTCTCTCTCTCTCTCTCTCTCTCTCTCTCTCTCTCTTTTTCTTTCTTTTTGAGACAGGGTTTCTCTGTAGCTTTGGAGCTCATGCTGGCCTTGAACTCACAGAGATCTGCCTGCCTCTACCTCACAAGTGCTGGGATTAAAGGCATGTGCCACCACTGTCCAGCTGGTGTGTTTTTCTTTTCCAGTGAATTCTATCTCTGAAGAGACTGTTTTGAAAGGTGTTAATCTCAGAGTTGGGAGGAGAAAGACTACCTACCCAAATCATCATGGCCAAATTATTGAAAGCAAACAATTAAAGCAAGCTTTGTGTGTGTGTGTGTGTGTGTGTGTGTGTGTGTGTGTATGTATGTATGTACAGGCTGCCTCCCAGTAAGGCAGAGCTTGAGGAGTTAGCGCTGGATGTGAGGAAGACATGCGGGCCATCCGTGATAAGCTAAGTATGGGAAGGTAACCCAAAGGAAGTTCTTTACTTCCAACCACTGTCACCTGCCAGAATAAAACTCTGGTCCTTTGATAAATTTAAATGGATGCCCGAGTCTCAGTAGTTTGCCCTCAGGCAATGCCTGGTTTCAGGAAGAACCACAAGCCTTCACCCAAGAACAGACCATTCAAAGGAAATGCCTGGCATTCCAACCGCTGTAGATAGGAACACCTGCTAGAACATACTCAATAGGACACCCCTAGACAAATGTCAGTCAATCAACCAGGGGTCTTAAAACCTCAGAAACCCCTCAAACCCACCTTGACTACTATAAAAACCCAATTCTAACTGAGCTTGGGGTTCTCTGGTTATTCCAATACATTGGACATGCAGAAAGACCAAATTTGCAAACTTAATTAAAATAAAGGTTCTTTGCTTTTGCATACAGGACTTGGTCTCCTTGTTGGCTTTTGCAGGGACTTCATGGATTTGGACATAACAGAAGATAGTTTTTATAACTTGGGGGTAGGGAACTTCTAAGCAGGAAATTTGGTGGGCAAACTCACTGGCGTTAGAGGAGCAGAACATAAGCATAACAAGTTTTGCCTAACAACTTCCTGAAAAAAGGCATTGTTGCAAGGAGGGAATAACAAGGTGGTCACAACAATGGGCAGTCATAACAACGGGCAGTCACAATCACAGGAAGACACAACACCGGGCCATCACAACAACGGGCAGACACAACAAGATAGGCATAGGCAGTCAAAATAACCTTTGAAACAAAGTTAGGGTTGTAAGAGAGTTATTATACTTTTTGAAATAAAGGCATGTTGCCTTTTCCTGGAGCAGGCAGTGCTGAACCATTTGTATTTAATTTATAGGTGGAGCAATAGCTCAGTCCTTAGGAAACGGGTTTAACCATAATCAGGAATGAAGCTAGTTTATCTTTACTAGAAGATGGCTTTGGCTTTGAAACCTGAGATGGAGGCAGACTGGTTTATCAAAGCATGTTGTACTGGCTTGCAGGTGGAGAAGGGAGTGCTAGAGGAGATAAGACATGGATCCAGATGATCCTGACTAATTGGGACTGTCTGTGACCTAGGTTGGACTTAAGGCATAGCTCGTTAGTCATTTAACCATCTCATTTGTAGAGCTCAGAAATGAAAGCGCTAGTAGTTCTGGTTAAAGTTGAAATTCCTGGGTGAGAAGGGGAGACAGACAAGGCCATGCGGGACTTCAGACAGTATAATAACACCTTGCTTGGCAGGAAAACCTACAAGGGAGGTCCTGTAAGGTCAGAGCCTGCCATCTGCACACAGGCTGGAGTTGTTATGGGGAAGGAAGTGCGTGGGAGGGGTGTAGGGGGAGTGTAGAAAGGTTTCCTTTTTTTTTTTTTTTTTTAAATGTTCAAATGGGCTTTTGCTAGGACTGCAAAGTGATTAGTCAAGAATGCTAGATATTAAGAAATATCCTGTATGGGCAGTCATTAATAGTGTCTAGGGGTGTGTGGCAGAAATCTAGGAAAATGAATGATCTTAGATTTATAAAGCTAACTACTGTGGTTTCAAGAAAATTGACCGCTTTTTGCCCTAACGGAGGAACTTTTCAAATGGAATGGCCAAGGCTAAAAGAGCCATCAAGGGGCAGATATCAGAACCAGGAGAACAGAAGTGGAAAATCATTTTCCATGTCTCCACTAGTGACCTTGTTTCACTGTGTCACCCATGCCAAGGAGTCTTATACGTAGTAGGTTCTCAATGTGTAATGATAACACAATAAGCAGAAACAGTAGGCTTGCTTACCGTGGTTCCAGCTCAGAATCTAAGCAGAGGCTGGCCAGGTTAGCATGTGAATAAGAGAAATAGCAAATACCAAACTGAGTTTTACGGACCCTCCAAAACCACGACAGTGTACCCACATTGGGAGACAGTACACAGAATACAATTCTATTACATTTTTATTTTTTGTAATGGTGAGTATCAAATCCTGTGTCTTTGTTGTTGTTGTTGTTTGAGACAATGTTTCTCTGTAGCTTTGGTAACTTTGGAGCCTGTCCTGGAACTAGCTCTGTAGACCAAACTGGCCTTGAACTCACAGTGATCCGCCTGCCTCAGCCTCAGCCTCCCGAGTGCTGGGATTAAAGGCGAGCGCCACCACCGCCCGGCTAAATTCTGGGTCTTGCACGTGTAAGCAATCGCCACTCTACACCAGTGAGCTACATACCCAGTCCTTTAGTATTAGTGTTTTTTCAAAGCATTTTTTATCAGAAGAAGCTCAGCAGTTAAGAGCGTTCCTGCAGCGCTTGCAGCTCTTCAAGAGGATCTAGAGTCAGTTCCCAGCCCCCACCACCCATACTCCAACCCTCTTCTGACCTTCATGAGCCTGTGCACACACACGCACTAAAAATTAATTTAAAACCCAGTATGTTGGCAGTGGTGGCGCACGCCTTTAATCTCAGCACTCGGGAGGCAGAGGCAGGCGGATCTCTGTGAGTTCGAGGTCAGCCTGGTCTACAAGAGCCAGTTTCAGGACTGGCTCCAAAGGTACAGAGAAACCCTGTCTCGAACCCCCCACCCCCCCAAAAAAGATAGACAGTATAGGCATACTCTAGAATCAATCAGCCACAACTGAAACACTAAATGTACAGGAAACATATAGGCTTATAAATCTGCAAAGAAAATGCTCAAGGTACCATTTTGAGCCTCATTAGAGCACGTTAAGTCCTACATAAAAGTGTGAAGGCCTATGGGGAATAACTCAGTGATAGAGTATTCGGCTCAAATTACAAGGTTCTGGATTTGATTTCCAACACTTCCAGAGGGAAAAAGTGGGCGGGTAAAGGGGGGTAGGGCAGGCGGAAGGAAAGAAATTCTTCTGTAGAAAGGATGTATTTTACTTTATAAAATATGGTTGTGGGGATTAAAAAAAAAAACAGGTGCATTACGGATATGACGTGGGCAATTGACTCATCTCTGTGCCTCAGGTACTGCAAAATGAGAAGAGTCAGGACCTGATCTCTCGATTTCCTAAAGTCCTCCACTTCCACTGCTTTTGAGCTAGCACTTTAGCCCCTTGGTCAGTTCTAAACGCATTCGGCTCCGTTCCAGCTTCCGTGTAATTTCTCTCTCTCTCTCTCTCTTTTTGTGTATTTCCGTTGGTGCTTTGTAAGGGTAGTTCATCCCTTAGCAAAAGTCTTTAAACAGAGAAAACAAAAATTGGCTTTCACAGACCGAGACCGACAGACCGTGACACCACGTCGCCGCGCCTCGGCAGCCTCGCAGCACTGCATGCTGGGAGTTGTAGTCCCACACCCCTCACGCCCCTCACGACCCTCACGCCCCTCCGCGCCTCTGGAGTTTGAAAGCCCCAGGAGGGGCCGGTGGGCGGGCTGTGGAGGGCGGAGCTCTGTTAGCCCCGCCCCCCGCTCGCCGCTCTCGCGCGGTTCGCGGCTGTGTCGCGCGCCAGGCTGGAGGAGAGGGTGTGGCCTCGGCCCTGGGG